GGGGCTGAATGTTAGCTTACTTGAAATATTCCCTACAACGACAGATCAAAGTCATAAACTACCCTGACTTCTTTTCTTTTCTTGCTCCGATCCCTTCGACTTTGGGAGCAAGCTGAGTAGGGCGACCCTCATTTTGTTTGTCAGAATTCTTGGAGTCTAACTGATTTTTGGGCGAGCAGAGGTCGGTCCTTGTATATAGGATTCCACCTCCATCAGTGCCTCTTGTAGAGTGAAGACTCTCTTTCTAGCAAGGTCAAACTTCAAAGATGACCCGTCTATAAACCCTTGAAGAAGTTTGTGTAGGCAACCTCGTCAGAAAGTCTTTGAATCTGGATTCTCACTTGATTGAACCGCCTAACGTAGGAGCGAAGTTATTCTCTCTCTCCCTGCCAGATGGTGCTCAAGTCGAGACTTGTTTTTTTTTTTGGCAGGGATGTTCATCGAGAAGTTTGAAGCAAACAGAAAGTTAAGCTTCTTGAAATTATTGATGCATCTGGCTGGCAAGTTGCCAAACCATTGGTGGGTGATGCCCTTCAATGTAGCAGGGAATCACCTGCACTAGTAGGCATCATCCAACCCCTGCAGATGCATGAGGTTGGTGTAAGCCATAAGGTGGTCCTCAATGGTGGTACCGTCATAAGTACCCACCAGAATGTTCTTAACCTTGGCAGGCGGCGCTACTTTGGCTATCTCCCTGGTGAACACTGGAGTGTTCACCAAGCTTGAGCAAACGAAGTTGCTAGTCTAGAGGTTGGACATTGTATGCCTCCTGACCTCCGAAGAGGGACGACTACATGTAAGGTGGGGCATATGGCCCTTATGGCATCTAAGGCACTTACGGGGCTGATCCAATCATCTAAAGGCCTGTGTGGACGATCTTGTCGCCTGTATGGATCTCATGTAAAGATCGGGAATACCTTGCCGAGGTGTTTTTGAAGCTGTCTGGGTAGCTTGACGTGAAGGTCGATTCCGACAGTTGTCGGCTCTTCTTTTGCTCGATGATGTGTCGGGCATTAGAGAACGACTTTTGTTGCCATTGGTCTGGACATGCCGGATGACCTTCCTTGTGCCCGTCTGAGGCAGAAGGACTTTGGACCAGTCAATCGCAGTCGCGACCTTCTCCTTTAGGCGTGGTGTAATACCCCTTATTTTCATACGTATTTTCTAATTATTTAATTAGGAATTATTTTATAAAAAAAATATTTTGGTAAATTTATTATTTGGAGCCAAAATAATATTTGAATTTTGGCGCCAAAAGTATTTTGGAAACTAATCATTATTTTGGATAAGATTTATTATCCATTTATCTTATTTTAAAAACCAGATTATTTACATATTTCAGATATTTTAATTAAAGCAAATTAATATTTTATTAATTATTTATTATGGCTGAAAATTCCCAATAATTAGCTAGGGATTTTGGATTTTCCATGTATGGAAAATCTGATTTTTCTTGGTTTTTTATTGGTGAATAATTGGTATTTTAATTAATTAATTATTTAATTATTTATTCTATATTATTTATACAATTATTTTATTCCTTAAAACTGAGCAAAAACTTCCTAAATAAACCTAGGAAAATCCAAAAATCTTAGCTATGGGAAGCTCAATATTTTCGGCCCTCTCTAATTATTTTAGGGGAATATATTTTGGTAAAATTGTATTTTAAATTATCTCCCAAAATCTCTTAATTTCCTTAATTCTATTTCTCCATCTTTTTAATATTTGATCATCAAATTGTCTTGCCTTTTATTCTTCTTAATTTTTCCCCAAGTAATTCCAATCTCCTTATTATTTTTCATGACATACATACATTCCATATTCAATTATACACAATCACCTTAATATCAAAACTTTCCTTAATTCTTTTACTCACTTCTCCAAGTAATCCCTTAAACCCTACTTACCATAATTCTTCCTACATTTTCCTACCATAAATCATGCTTACACTAGCCTATAAATACCCCTTCAATTCATGATCAAACCTTCACACAAATTCTCATAATTCTCTCTTAATACTCACTCAAATTCTTTTTATTTTTCTTTACTCCTCCTTGCGCACCACCACCTCCACCGTGAACCACCACCTCTCTGGCCGCCCACTGTCGCCGCCCTCCACCTTCCGGCACCATCTGCTGCCGCCGGCAACCCTTGCCGCCACCTCCTCCCTTCTCTTCTCCTTGGTTTCTGATCTTTTCTTCTTCTTTTCTCTTATTCAATTAACTATAATTATTATGGGAAATTTATATAAAAAAAAATTATTATGACATGTTTTAATTATATAAAATCAAATTTTTAGTAGTGTTTATGATAAATTAATTTAAGAGGATCATGTACATATAGTTGGGAGGTTTTTAGTTTAATTGTTGTGATTATTTGTTAACCTTATATTAATTAAGGTTATATTTATTTGAAGGGTTTGTTCGAACAAGAATCTTGAGGTTCCGTTTGTGTGTCTTGATAAGCGAGGATCAAGGTACGTTAGGTGATTAAATATCTTGAAAGAGATTGGTTTGAATGAGCATGTTTGAATGATTTCTTGTGATGATTGAATTAAATTGAATTGAATTATGATTTATGAAATAAAAGTATGTTTAAATAAATTGGTTTTAATAAATAAATTGGAGTATTGATTTTATATCATGTTTTAAATGTATTAATTAATATTCATGTTTAAAAGGGTTTTATTTTGACTTCAAAAAAAAGGGATTTTATTTTGAAAGCATGTTGAATTTAATAAAGAGGAGTTTTGGAATTATCATTAAAAGTTGGAAGTATTGGATTTAAAGAGGATTTATTGAATTATTATTATTAAAGCTTTATAAGCATGTTAGTAATCCCACTATGCAGATTTGGTTTTTTTTTTAAGACTTTGGACTTTGTATGACCAAATCTTTCCTTAAGAATATCCTTGTAATATAAGGAGACAAGCTTGGGGAGTGTGCACACTTGGAAGAGGAATTGGAATTGGTTTTTGAATAATTGGAATTGGTTTTGAGTAATTAGAATTGGTTTTAAAATAAGTGGGATTGGATTTATTGTATATTAATATTGGTTATTGGAATTGGTTTTGGAATCTTGAGTTGGAAATATTGATTTAATTATTGGAATGGATGGAATTGATTTCAAAAGCATGTTTATGAATAAATTGAGTTTATTTATCTCGCACTTATCGTACTTAGCATATTTTGCTAATCCATATTTCTTATTTTGTTTTGGTTCGCCCTATTTACCTTAATGGTAAGCAATGTTGACTAATTTCAGGCGAAGTCATAAAATGAGCATTTGTAGTCCCGGTAATGGTTCACCTAGATTAGGATATGTTGGTTCTTGTATTTATTTTTGAGTACTCATGACAATGGTTACTATTTTCAGTCTATTAATAAATAAAGAAGAGTTTTGAAGTTTCCGATGCAAAGTATTGGTTTATTTGGTAAGTTTGAGTAGCCTTGCGTAATCACACGGCGGTAATACGCCTAAGTCTATCTCTACGGTATAATTATACGTATTATACTGGTATTTCCGTAGAGGGAGATTTGGGGGTGTTACACGTGGAGTAGGCTGCCTGTCCCTGACTGGCTTTCTTTGCTCAACATGAGGAGACTTCTTGCCCGACTGACCCTTTCTACAGCCAGCCGTCCTTTTAATTTGTTGATGAGTCTTTGATCTCCCCCTTGAAACTAGTCATGAATTTTATGAGTTTGTCTCTAGTGACGGGAGCTGCCCCTCTTGCTGCTTGGGTTTCCCCAGTCGGCTGTCCAGAGGATTTACTTGGACCCGCTTGGTTGTCGCCCCGTTCCAATCTATCCTTGGGATGGATGCGTTTAGAGATTAGGGACCCATTAGGGGCTACATGGATTTCGACTTCTACGTTGTTATCAGTGTCATGGTTTGGAAAAGACCTCTGCCTCAACCCGAGACTAATTCTTGTTAGGAGGCGGTACAAATTCTTGAACCATCTTAGAGGTACTCTACCCACAAACGACGCCAAATGTTTTGGGGTTTTTTTTGTGACCAACGGGAGAGTTACAACACCAAGACAAGTCCGGGGCCGCATGTACCTGCAAAATCACGGAAGCTCCAATTGGTCGGAATTCCACCTCCGACGGTTAAGTTAGTATACGTTTGGAGTGAAAAGGTGCGAAAAGTAAGTATCTTCTCGGATTTCGAGATCAGCTATTTTCTCTGTTTTCGAGAATAATAAATAATGTAATGATAGTAAGGTCCCCCAATAATGGGGCGATCTCCCAATTTATAGGGTCCTAGAATTTTGTGCCCTTCTCCTAGGGTTTGATGACCTAGGATCATGGGTTGCGCCGTTTTACAACGACCTCGGGAATTGGGCCTTGAAGTCTGCCAATTCCTGAAGGGGTATCTTCTTGCCACGTGTTGTGCCCGGGTTGGTCCATTTGGAGACCTTCCTAAGGTAACACGTGTCACGCTATAAGAGGTCCATATGGTAGGGTAAAAATACCCAAAACATTACTATTGTCCTCTAAATGAATAAAAGGGGTTGTACTTATACTTCTCGAATTACATAGGTTACTCCGTCAAAAGAAAGTGAATTTCCTAGTTAGGAGCGCCCGTTCCTCCTGTCTTTAGGTAAGGTAGAATCAGCATAACAGGGGAGGAGCGCCTGCTCCTAGGAAAGTGCGCGCCAGCTCCACAGCTCCTATTTTAGATAAGAGATAGATTGTAGAAGTGGAGGAAAGAGCGCCCGCTCCTTGTTGAGTGCACGGTCGCTCTTAGTAAATTCAACAAAGGCAGATTGTGATACCATCAGCAGGAGCACCCACTCCTTCTGGGATGCATGCCTGCTCTTGGTAATGTGAAGGAAGGTAGGAACTTGGCTAGGAGCGGGCTCTCCCTTTGGTATGCTTCCTCTAAAGTCTTTCATGGTGCTCTTTGCTCTCGTCTAATCTTCACCTTAACCTACAAGCACGAACATATACACACACAAAAAGGCGCATTGCCAATATACAACATATAAACACAAAAGGGGTTAGAAAGAGGGAAAAAAGTAGGAGAAATAATTACAAAATCGAGTTAAAATCACCACAATAAGTGTGCAAATAAACCTCTTATCAGCACGTCATTATCAAACACCAAATCATCATTATCATCATTCATTAGTAGCATTACCCCTTCAAATAGAGGATTGACATTCTTCTACTTTTAAGCGTTGACTTATAAAGCAGCTCAATAAATATGCCAGAGGTGCCGATTAAATAGAGTCCTTATCTAACTTAAAAAAAAAAAGGAAAAACAAAATTTCTCAATCCATCTCAAACTTTTGAAACAACATTTCTATTCTCTAATCCACTCACTACTCATACTATATTTTAGTACCAAAACGAACTGAAATCCAGAAAAAGCAATTGAATCAAAAAAAAAAAAAAACAAAGAAAGAGATTGGTTGGTAAGAACTCAGGCGCAAAATAAAGGTGGAAGATGCGCCGAAAATGTTGTGGAAAGATATTACGAGTAGAGCAGATGGTAAATTACGCCCAAATTCTTTCTCCCGTCGCCTTCGATCTCGTCGCATTTTTTCTCTCCATCTTTCTAACTTCAAAGAATTCGTTTCTCCTCATCGTGGCGCCGTTAATTCTCTCCAGGTCCCTCTCTTTCTTCCTCAATCTTTTTCCACATTTTTGTTGCTTAATTTTGATTGTAAATTGCTGTACTAAACCTTCTTTATTGCTTATCATTAGAAGAAATTTTGTTTAATTTTGCTTGTCGAATTATTTGGGTGATTAGTACTTAGGTTGTAGGGTTTTGCTAATGTAATTTATGGTATTCAATTTGAGTATTTCTTTATTAAAGGTGATCCTTTATTTTTTCTTTTTAAATTTTAAGGATGTTAATTATTGAAACTGAATTATGCCATGTTGTAAAACAATTTTATAAGGACAGTATATGACAAATTTAATGAAAGTTAGGGAGTTGGGGAAAGAAAAGAATTACTCGTAAGTGAATTGAATGGGTAAATGAATACCATTGATGAAGAGTGCTGAAGGGATTTAAATGTTGGAGATGAATGGGGAAGATGAAGTGTTTAGGCAAGATGAATGTCATGTGTTACCGTTTAAGCTGTTGCAATAAGAAAGGGATATTTTATGTGCTAAAATTTCGAGTGCCTCTTGTTAGTTTATTCAACCTTTACATGTTATGTCACTAATCTGAATTTTTGGAGGAATACTCCATATCTTATTTGCTGTGTTTTATTTAGCCATTACCTTAGCATCTTTCGTGACCTTTACTGGTCGCTGTTCATATTAGTCTTTTATTGCATTCCGTTTTCTTGATGACTTGGAGTTAGACTGGTGTAGCTGCTGTAGTGTTATAGTTACTACACTTAGCGGATATTCCAGAAAATGGAAGGTAAAAAATAGACAAAAAAAGTTATGGCTTATACGTCTAAAATTATGTAATTGCGTTCTACCTTTTTATGCAGTGTTTGTTCTAGTTGACTTTTCAAGTTTTCAACTCTAATAAATTGATTTTATAGTTTAGAAGAGCATCGCTTTAATTAATAGAGACAGTTGTCATTGCCATGGTCGAATCTATCGCGATGGAATCTTGCATTTCCACAAGTGGGGTCTTACACAAAAGTCTTATCCTTTTGTTGTGGATTATACATTTATACTTAATAAAATTACCTACCACTATTTAATTTTGATGAAGTAAATAAAACTTATCTAACAGCTAGAGGCTTCCATAATCAGTCTTTAATGTCAAATGAGGATGCTTTAAAGTATTTTTATTTTCATTTAGTTGATATTTGCTTCTCCCAAATGGATTCGCCTTTTTTTTTATCCTCTCTACTTTTGTATATATCAATCATTTTATTTTTTTATTTTTTATACTACCACCATTTCAATTTATTTACAGCGATATGACATTCACCATCATTTAGGTAAAATTTGTTTGTGAGTGGTAAATAGAGAGAGAAATAAAGTTGCATGTGATGATGAGAGAAATAGAAAGAAATGACAAGTAAAAAAGGAAAGAAAACCTTTGTCGTAAATAAATTGAAAAAGAGGTAGTATAATAAGAGCTAAGGGAAAGGGTGGGCAGCTTTCTTAAGAATAAAGAAGACAAATAGAATCTAATTTATATCAAGGAAGCACGGTCTGTGGTTTTGTATGTATTTTCTTAACTCACTTTTAAAGTCCTAACCTCCTCAGACACTAAAAAGAGCACATAATGAAAAATGTCTAGTTAGAGCAAAGTGAATAAAAAAAAAAACAAAATGGTAACTTGAACAATGATTATGATGTGGACCTTTTTTCACACAAGGAAACTTATTGTTTTGATACATATAGAATATCCCTTATTGAGAGATCTTCTTGTCACATTTTTTTTGATAGAAAACCAGGTTGATTTAACAGAGGGGAGATATTTGCTTTCTGCTGCTTCAGATGCATCTGCTGCTGTCTTTGATGTTCAACGTGCATCAGAATTTGAGGTTGGAGGCTCCGTTGCGAGGCACAAGTGCCTGTTTGTTATTGATAAACAGCACCAACAAGGACATAAGTACGCTGTATCCTCAGCCACATGGTATCCAATTGATACTGGGCTTTTCATCACCGGTTCCTATGATCATCACATCAATGTTTGGGATACAAACACCACACAGGTACTACTCCAGTGTATACTTGCTTTTCACGTGCTCTAAAGTAGTCAATTGTTACTAATTTAGACTGCTGTTTGATAGGTAGTTATGAATTTTAAGATGCCTGGAAAAGTTTACAAGACTGCCATGAGTCCTATTGCAACCTCCCATATGCTAATAGCGTCTGGAACTGAAGATGTTCAAGTTCGTCTTTGTGATATTGCTTCAGGGGCGTTTGCTCATACATTGTCTGGCCATCGTGGTATATTGTTAATTAAAAGATTATAAGTATTTGTCTGACATTATTGAGCATAATATGTTGATAAATAGAAAGGCCAAATATTGAGCATAATTTATTCCATAATTTGTGGTAGGGTTGAGATATAGAAGAGATTATCTGGGTACTTATTGTTATTTAAAAGATAATGTTGGCAGTTTCTGATCCTACATAGACAAAGGAATCAGGCCCAAGTGTAATGTTGGCTTATATAGTTTGATACTTTGATGGACTAGGGTTTGGATTTCATTGAAAAAAGCACTTTCATGCATTGCAATATATAATTTTGTGTGTGTGTGTGTGTTGGGGGGGGGGGTGTTGGAAGCAATGTTTACAGATGCTGTGTGCCCAGTCTATTGCATATTTATAATTCTCATTTTTGGGAGTTATTGATAAGTTGTTGGGTTTTTTCATGACGATCTATCTTCCAAAATAGGAAAATGTAGCAACTAAAAAGAGACGGAGGAAGTTTTAATTATTGCTTGGTGATGCTTATGTCTGTGTACGTCTGCCTACTGTTGAAATTCTTTTGTATTTACTATTATTGTATGATGATGTGTTAGTTTGACCCATTAAGAGGAAGGCATCCTAACCTTGTAACTCTTTTTTCTTACCGTTAATTAGAAAAAAAGTCCATGTATAGTACCCTTCTTTTCTTTTTTTTTTTTTCTTCTGAGTTTATGATTATGTGAAAGGATGCATTTATTTTATAATTTCCTTACTAAATATTATGCTATAATTGCTATGCATGCCGACATGACCTAGTATGCTAGCCAATTTTGTCTAGTCATCAATATTTTGCACTTTATTTGAATGTTTATTGTTGTCAATTCAGCTCATCACATTATCATAAAAGCACGTGACTATTTATACTAATTTATATCAGATGTAGAGATCTCATATGTTATGTTCATAATGCTATCGCAGATGGTGTAATGGCAGTCGAATGGTCTACATCAAGTGAGTGGATTTTAATGACAGGTGGCTGTGATGGTGCCATACGTTACTGGGATATCAGACGTGCTGGGTGTTTTCTTGTTTTAGATCAGGCCAAGTCTCAACTTGGCAGGCGGCAACCATTGTTGGAACGTTCAGTTGCTGAAAAGGTCTCATTCTTGCTTGTTGATTAGAGTAGTTTTAATTTGACTGGCCTTTTAGATAATTATCTTTTTTTTTTTTTTAATTTTTTTTCTTTTTTCTCAAGATATAAGGAGCTTGATATTGTTTAGAAGACAGTTGGGTGATGATTGTTTGATGTTTTTATTAGTGTGCCAAAGAGGGCATTAATCATGATCAGAATTGTGCAACGAACTAGCGTGGTGTCGATAAATAAATGGACGGAAGGTTGATTTGGATATATAAAGCTTGAAGCTTTCGTACGATCTACAATGGCTTTAGGCCATCACTCTCCAAGGACTCTCTAAAAATAATACTTTCTGCTCCCCTTCTCTATCCTAAACTACTACTATTTATACTACTACTACAAAGCATAAGATGGCAACAATGCCTTAATTACTACAATTACTACTCTTGTCTTCTTCCCATTTTTGCACACTACAGACAAATGGCCTAAGGAGGCCTGTCTGCCCTGCTGCTCCTCTGTCCTCTGTCTCCCTCTGCTTGTTGTTGTTGATGGTCTCTGTTGTTGTTGGTCTGCCACTGCTGCCTGCTGTAGGTGGGTGTCACGGGTGGTGGTGGGAGTGGGTTCATTGCAATACTCCCCCCCAAAACAGCCACCTTGTCCTCAAGGTGGAAAGCTGAATTTTGCGCTTGGAATGTGCTTGAACGAGCAAGTGTATGATCACCCTTAAACTCAAACAACTTTCCTTCCATATTGAAACGCATCTCTTGTAGCTTCCAGTTGGTCGTCACCGGGCCTAATTTTTCCAGCCACTGTACACCTAGAATGATGTCGGAACTCCCCAAGGGAAGAGGCAAAAACTCCTCTTCTATCACCAACTCTTCACTGAGCTTCACTCGTACTCCACAACATTGCCCTCTCCCCTCTATGATTTTACCGTTCCCGAGTAGAACTCCAAAATTATCGTTACCCGTAATTGCTATCCCAAGCCTTTCGACCAATTGAAGCGAAATCAAGTTGTTAGTGGTGCCGGAATCAAACATTATCACCACTGGCTTCCCTTTAACCGCTCCTGTAACTTTCATTACATTCGGGTGGTTCAACCCCACCATCGAATTGAAGGAACCATTGACCAGAACGTACTCTGCCATACTTGCTGGAATCTCCATTGCTGTAAACTCTCCTTCGCCATCCTCGTAATCCTCTTCTACCAATAAAACGCTCAACCCCTTCGCGGTGCAAACGTGGGTGGGTCCGGTCCAACGACCGTCGCATTTGAAGCATAATCCCTTGTCTTTCTTGTCTTGCAATTCCTTCTCCGTTAGCCGTCGTACTTCACCGTTGAATCGGGAGTGGCCGGAGTTAGTTCGTATTTGGGCAGAGTAGGTTGGGTTGTTTGCGGAGGCTATTGATGATTGGGGTGTTTGATAGGAGGTAGGGTCGAATTGGGTTGTGAGAGTGGTTCTGATAAGTTTTGGTGGGTGTTGGGTTGTTGGTGGAATTTGGAATTGGGCTGTTATAAGTATGGGTTTGGGTATTCTGTGGGTTAGAGTGGGTGGGGTCAGGTATTAGGTTAGAAGTCGGTGAGTACTGGGCCGGCCCAACCCCAAGGAGAGTGGAGGCTGGACTCTGCTTAAAATAAGAGTAGGGTTCAGCTTTGAGGGCCGCCCCACCCATTCTTGTGTTACCCCTAACCCGATTCCTCTCTTCTACCCGAATGGCCAAATCCATGGCTTCTTCTAGGGTAATCGGGTTAAGCAACCTAACCTCTGCTCTTACCTCTTCTTTTAAGCCATTGATGAAATGCCCTTTCATTAAGCTTTCTGGAATATCCACCAAAGGAGAGGCCTTCTCGATGAAGACGCGACGGTACTCCACCACGGTGGTGTTTTGCTCCACCGCGAGCCACTGCTCGTGGAGGGTTCCCGCGTTGACGGGTCTGAACTGAGTGAGAATGCGCAACTTCATATCCTCCCAATTAACCACCGGCCGGCGGCGGAATTCCCACTGGTGCCACCTTAGTGCGTCACCCTCCATCGCCACCACTGCCGCTTGTAGCTTCTCCTCCTCTGAGAGCCTATAAAATTGGAAGTATTGCTCTCCTCGTAAGATCCACCCATCCGGGTCGGATCCGTCAAACGTGGGTAAGTCGAGTTTTCGAAATTTCCAGCGGTTGCCTTGGTGGTTGTTGTGGGGTTGGTAGTCGGTGTACCCATTGTGGGGTTGGTTGTGATGCGGCTGGAAACCTGCTCCGGGTTCCCAGTTCCCGAACCGCAGCCCATTGAGGCCCCCGTTTCCTATTGGCGGCTCGTTAACGCCACCATTCGAGTGTGGCGAACCGTTGAATCCACCAAGGGGTTGTGGTTGCTCCACCTCTTCGTTCACCACTATGGGTTGAGTAGGCTGTTTACCCAAGGCCTTGAGAGCGCCGCGAATTTCGTCCAAGACCTTGTTTTGTCTGCTCGTCGTCATGGTGACTTGTTGGGTTATGTCTTGCCGGAATCAATCCATCCTTCTAACCCTTGTCTGACTTTATCAATGGCCTCTTCCTGCTTCTTTAACAGAGTGTGCTGGAGTGAGTTTTCCCCTTCCCCGAATTTCTCAAAAATTTCTTCCACTCGTTCCTCTAGCGTGGCTATTCGTTCCACGGTGACTGTCGGGGCTGTCGGAGCCATGGTTGCTCTGATACCAATTGCAACGAACTAGCGTGGTGTCGATAAATAAATGGACGGAAGGTTGATTTGGATGTATAAAGCTTGAAGCTTTCGTACGATCTACAATGGCTTTAGGCCATCACTCTCCAAGGACTCTCTAAAAATATTACTTTCTGCTCCCCTTCTCTATCCTAAACTACTACTATTTATACTACTACTACAAAGCATAAGATGGCAACAATGCCTTAATTACTACAATTACTACTCTTGTCTTCTTCCCATTTTTGCACACTACAGACAAATGGCCTAAGGAGGCCTGTCTGCCCTGCTGCTCCTCTGTCCTCTGTCTCCCTCTGCTTGTTGTTGTTGATGGTCTCTGTTGTTGTTGTTGTTGTTGGTCTGCCACTGCTGCCTGCTGTAGGTGGGTGTCACGGGTGGTGGTGGGAGTGGGTTCATTGCAAATTGATAGTTATCAGTTTGCTTGGAAGGAGTTAAGAAGGATATGAAGCATATATATTTGCATGAGAATGCGGTATTTAATCGTAAGGGATGGAGGAGGAAGATTTTTGTTGATGACTATACGAAATAATCACTTTTGGTTCATGTAGCTGACCCCACTTATGAGATTAAGGCTTTGATTGATTGATTGATTGATAAGTGTCATAGGCTAGCGAATTACGGCTGTCAATACTGTTGTTACGGTATTGAAGTAGGAATAACTGGATTTTTTTCTGCTTTTGTAAATCTTAAATTTACATATTACTGAAAAAGCACCTGGGATCCAATTTTCAAAATCAATATATCTTTTGTTAATGGTAGAATCTAAGTCATGTGTTATAATAATTGTTTTACCCACTGTTTGGACTCTAAATGCTATTGTGTCTAATCTAGGCAGCAATATCTAAGCCGATGGGGCAGAATTTTTCTGCAAAGAATAGAGGGGAGCAGAAGAAAGTCTCTTCTGGAAACTCAAAGCAGAGACGCCATCCTGGGATGATGTCAAGTCAAGATCATGCAACTGCACATTATGGTGCTGTCACTGGCTTAAAGGCAACTGAAGATGGCATGTACCTTCTCAGCGCAGGTAGTTTCAATAAACTTTGTTGCACTGCAAATACTGTCTTGCAGATTCGAGTAAAATTAGCTGGTGATTTCTTTGATGTTCTATTCCAAATGGTAAAATATTTATGTCATTATAAATTTCAGGTTCTGATTCAAGATTAAGATTGTGGGATATTGAATCTGGATGCAACACTTTAGTGAATTTTGAAACTGTTCGCTTGCAAAATAGCAAAGGGATACAATTTACCGTGGCTCAGGATTCTTCTCTTGTGTTTGTTCCATGCATGACATCTGTGAAAGTAAAGTTTATGTCTCACATCTGATATACCTTCCCATTGGGGATGAAATTGGCAATCTTCTGATTTCCATTTTTATGCTTCAGGCATTTGATCTTTGGTCTGGCAAAACATCTCTTACTTTCCGTGCCCACTATGATAACGTTAATAGTTGCTGGTTTAATGCACAAGATCAGGTTAGCTATTGTTCTTATTGTCATTTTCTGAAAGACTCCATTATGACCCCTTCTGCTTTATCAGATTATAAGAATAAATATAACTGAGGCCTCTGTGCTGTCAGCCTGTCTTATATCTAAAACTTAATCTTGAGACGTTTTTGGTATGATAGAAAATATATGTCCAAAATTGTACTTTGTAAAATCTATTACTCTGGCCTCTGGGTTCTATTAGTTGTCTCAGCATGACACCTACCAATTTGTCTAATTCCTGGGTTTTCTTTTTTGTTTTTAATGTTTTTTTTTTATTTTTTTATTTATTTATTTATTATTTTTTTTAATTATCAATTTACACATTTAGCAACTGGCCACTATGCTTCAGATGACTTTTCCCGTTTAGCAATATTTAATTTGGGTTTCATGATACTCAGTTACTCATTTCAAAATTCTAATGCAACATTACTTGTTGGCTGCTTTAAAAGTAATAATCCAACATTAAATTATTGTTTTGTATCACCAATACTAGTTCTTATGAAATCCTTAAATATATAGCAATAGGAACCATACCAATTTCATAGGAACTAATTGATGATACAAAATAATTAATTAAATAGTCAAATTTTTGTGCATTTAACATTTTAATATAGGTGACAATTTAACAGTGTTCTTTAGGTGATTAATTACATTGAGGGTTTTTTTTTATTTTTTTTAATTTTATTTTTTATTTTTATTTTTTAATTCATGCTCCCGTTGCTTGGCTAATGGAAATAGGCTCTTTGTTTCCAGGAGCTGTACACTGGTGGAAACGATAGGCAGATTCTCGTCTGGTCTTCATCTGAATTGTGCAGCGATGATTTGGTAATTTTATGAAATCATCTCTTTCATTTCTAGTAATTATTTGGCTGTTTTACATTATAGCAGTTTGGAACAATTTAGCTACAGTATGCAGAATAGAATATGTGTCCTTTGTTTTTTTAGATGAATGAATAATAAAGGTAGGATAGTTACCATGTACCCCTAAGAGGCTAAGATTTTAAGATATACACGTAAAACACACCATGTATCATGAAGAACTTACAAAATACCTTGCGTACTCCCAAAGCTAGCAGATATTTAAATCTGTTACTTTAAATCACCAACTCACTTTGATTCCCTTTCACCCCCAAATCTTTTTCTTTAGTAATGCCTCATCCCATAACTGCCCATCCAGTATATTCCTTTTCTTTGAATTCCAGCCATCACTACAACAACTGCCACCACCTTATCTATTCTTCCCAGTTCCCACCTGTTACCCCCCCCCCTCTCCCAAGATGTAAAGTAGTAATTCTAGTAAATAAAGATGGAAAGTGTTCGGATCTCTCTCTCGTTGTCTGTACAATATAATTATTTGAGAGAATCACATTTTTGGTATTCACAAATTTAAATTAAATGTTAAGGTACTGTTTGGTTAGGTGTGCAAAAGAAAGTAATGAGAAAGAAACTGGGAAGGAATTAAATGGCAACACCTCCAATGACCCATCTTGTTTAGTTGAAGAAGGGAAAAAACTGTAGTTTCATTATTAAATGTTTGTTGGAATAAAGAATTAAAAGAAAAAGAAGCCATAACCATCACCCATTAAACTCAACGTAGCCTAACCTTCTGTTTCCAACAACAATCGTCACCACCAACAACTAATCGCTGCCACAAATCTGACACCAAACCAAGCCATCAAAAACTCTATTGTTCATGACCCACACATTATCACCACTGTCTTTCTTCTGTTGAGACACCTTACATTGACTTATAACTCTTTAATGGCTGAAATCAGTCAGGGGATTCAGAACTGCAACCTTACCAACCAAATTTAAGCCTGATAGAGTTGAAGTACCAAATGCGACTTTCAGATTTCGTATGTGGAAAATGCTCTGCTTCGGTGGTTTGCATAATTGGTGTTGTTGGGTATGATGCTTGGCAGTAATAATGATGTTGTGGTATCTCCGGTGGTTAGGTAATGTCAGGGTTGTCAATTGTGTTGATGAAGATTGTGATGGGGCTGAGATGCCAAAACCCCTAAGGTGAAAATTTGATCCATGACTATATTTCCCTTTCTCAATCACCCTCAACTAAATGGCCTCTTAGACTTTTAACACGTTCAATACAATTACACAACCCAACCCCCCTTGCGGCAATGCCAGCAAGTAGCAATACTGGTGATGGGTAATCATTATTTCTGTGACTGTGCTGCAATTGTTTGTGGCCGTTAGTGGCAAGTGTTAAGTGACATAAGAGGGCTTTTCTGGTGAACAAGAGTACATATTTGAAGGTTCTCGCAAGATTGTGGCAGAGGTGTTGGTGGGGTTGTCAATCTCGTCGTTCACCCGTTCAGTGGTGGTCCCTGATTTTGACTTCTTGTTTGATTGGAGTTGGCTAGAATTGAAGAGAGAAAATGAGGTTAATTAGCAATAAAGTTTGTTATGAAAATAGGGTTTGACGTTTGAGTAATTATTGAAAAGGCTTTCAAGCAAAAAATCAGTAGTGTGATTGGAAATTTTGTGACGTGATTTGAATATATTTTCCAATATTATTGAAGAAATTTAACAGGATAGAGGGTAAAACTAAAATCAAGAGAAATTGTTGGGTATGTGACGAGAGACTAGGTGGGATGGGAAAACTAGGAGAGAAGGGAGGGGGGTTGTCGTGGTGGTTAAAATAGTTGGTGCTCTTAGTTACGAGAAGTCAAATGCCTTTTAGATATGGGTGTATGTGGGGAAATTCCAAAGCCCTCGGATTACAAGGTGCATTTATTAAAAAAAAAAAAGGGACCTCACATGTGTTCCAACCTCAGGGGAGAAATTCCAAGTTTCTTATCATGAAAAACAAAATATGTTTCTCAAATGGTAGTCATTAAAAAATGCATTTTTTTATTGTTCATTGTAGCGGCTTCCTTAAAAAAAATAAAAAAATGAAGTAGCAGATTTACCCATAAACCGCTATTATTTTTCCCCTTTTTTTAAAGGAAATGCCTTGAACAAATTATTCGTTTGAGAGTATATAGGGAGAAACTTCTGGAGGACAATGGTTAACCCACACTTGTTCAACTCCAAATGGTAAAACTCTAGCAAGATGATGGGTAACATTGTTCCCCTTCTCGTATTGCATAAACCGCTAATTGAAGTAGCATTTAATCTCTTGAGAGACAAATTTTATTTTTCATGTTGGGAAACTAGGGCGGCCTCACTTTGGGGGGCACATGGTAATATGGTATATTCTATATTATCTGAATTTTAAAACTATTTTTAGGAATTTTTTGTATTTGAAGCAGATTCTAATCTAACCTCAGGGGCACAAGGTATAATATTTGAATTTTGAAACATTTTTTTAGGAATTCTTTGTTCATGAAGCATAATCTAATGCTAAAAAATTCGCCGTATTTGGATAGAGAGAAATGGAAGGAAAAGATGAGAAGAGAAAAGGATGAAATTGTCATCCCATATATCTAGGGGTGAGCGTAGGAGGGTACCCTGTAAAAATCTCAGGACCCGGAACCGAAACCTGTTGCAACATGTAACTAAAGTAGGAACCGGAATTTGAACCTGAACATGAACCTGTTCAATAGGTTCCTAAAAATTGGGAATCTTAAAACAGGTTCTTAAAATTGGGAACCGGAATCGATAGGTCCGGTTCCGGGATAGGGTACCCTGTCTTTCAAAGTAAGCTTAATAGTTACTTGATTGTCTAGAATATTTAATACAAAATTACAAATTCTTATATTAATACCATTAATTAAACCTTTAAAAGCAAGATGAAAAATGAATAAGAGGAGAGAGAGGTAGGTGACGACGTTTATACAATTTTGATATAAGGCTTTTATATTTGGGCTTAAATGATAGGGGCTTCATGTACCCTATAGGAAACTATACTAATAGGGTACCCTATAGGTTTCGGGTTTAAAATTTTATTACCCGGAACCGGAACCTATTGCAACAGTTTTCCATTTTTATTACTCAAAATTGGAACCTGTTAAGTAGGTACCAGTTCTAGGTCGGGTACCCTGAATTTTTGCTCACCCCTATTTATCTATGTAGATAATGCATGGAAGGAGGACAAAGGGGAGGCAACTGGAAGGATTTTTTTTAATAAACCATATCCTATCAAATGGAAAGATTTGGAAAGAAAATAGAAGCTCGCTCTCTCCCTCCCTGTCTTTTCATTCCCTTTTTTTTTTATATTTTTTTTTTATTTTTTTTTGTACTTCCCTCCTCTCCCTTTCCCTTCTAGATTGCTATTCAGACATAAATGTTAGGGAAGTAATAATACTGTTTATTGTTATTGAGCAGGATAACAGGAGCAAGAACGGAAAAGGTCTCTTAAAAGATGATGAGGATAATTGGAGTGATTAGAGAAGGCCATTTGATTGTATTATTTGTTTAGATAATCTACTATAATTTGTTTAGGTCTATGCATGATATGGCATATAAGTGTGTTAAACGGACATGCTGTATCACATTTGTAAAAGGCCAAGTGTAATGCTTCGTAATTACGAGTATTTGTTACATTACTGATCTGAGAATGGTAAATATTGGAATACAAAATTATCTGAGGGTCGGTAATTCACAAGTTGTAATGTATCTATCCCTTTACCTTCTTTAATTCTCTTTCATACACAACTTTTACATTTGAATAAGTTAATCGCCATATTCTATAACTTTTGTTTTGAAAGAATCTTATTTATTATTTTTTTTTTTTTTTCATTTTGACGGGAAAATTTCACTAATCTTCTCTTACACTTTTTTTTTTTACATACCTAACTCAAATTCGTAACACTTCATGCCAATAGAACTATTGCATTACAAAATGGAGTAATGGTTAAAGATGGGAATTGGAGACTATTAAAATTGTAAATGAAAATTCAGCACCGCTTAGCCTGACCCTCGTCCCTATCCCATCACCGCTTCCACCGTCCCCCCTTGTTTCCCAGCCTCTTCTCGCCGGCGACTGGTGCAGCTCGCCTGGCCGTCGCCGGCAAGCTCAGTCCTTCCGTCCATCCCTCTTTAATTTTTGTTTTTTTCGGGTTTGTTGGTGAAGATTACAGGGTTCCCCTTGGTGGTGGTGGCAATAAGATTGGGGTTCCTTTGGTCGCCGGAATCTCGTTTGTCTGGTATGGTTTTAGTTTTGTGTAATTAAAGGAAGCCTAGAGATTTGGTTTTCTGCTTTCCTTTGGTCGCCGGATTCTCGACTGTCTAGTATGGTGTTAGTTTTGTATAATTAAAGGAAGCTTAGTGATTTAGTTTTGTTTCAGTCTTTATGGCTAGTTTTGAGGAACTAAGGGGTATGTTATGCATTTCCCATGTTGAAGAGAAGGATGTCTCTTCTCATGAGTTAGAATTTTCAATTGGGCAGTTGGAAAATCCTTTTGGGATTTTCAATTTTGTTAGGAAATTAAAGGATGAGGGAAACATGTTCTATAAGCAAAATCAATTAGGGTCTGCTATTGCAAAATACTCTCTTGCCCTTAAATTGTTGTCTTTTGCTTCAGACTGTAGTGAAGAGGATAAATTGATGTTTTCGGGCACTGCTGTGTCCCTTAATCAATTAGGTGATTGCCGCGTTAGGGCTTAATAAACCAACCTTAGCTTTCATGGACCTTGCACAAGCCCTTAAAATAGGTCCCAATAATAGTGAGTCCCAGGAAAAATTAAAGGAGGTGATATCCTTATTGGGTTGGTCTCTGGATTTTGTTGATGAGGCAGTAGCAGTAACAAGGAAAGATGAGAAGTTTAGAGATTATGTTTGTTGTGCGAAGGAAGATAGTAGTAGGAAGTTAGGAAAAAAAGTGATTTGGGTATTTTATACCCGGCCAGGTGGCCCAATCAGAAAGTGCCATGTGTCCTCCATATAGGTGCCATTTGGACCTATGGAATGATGACACGTGGAGGGTGGACTCTTCTCCGTCCTACGTGGACTGAAGGTCCAGCAGGGACCATTCAGGTAGCGACACGTGTCACACAAAAAGTGCTTCAAAATCCATTGGGCACAGTGACACGTGTCACTCAAGCATTGGCCCTGGGATGGCGGCCTTCTAAGGCCCAAATCCCGAGGCACCGCAAAACGGCGTGAACTAATTACTAGGTCACCAGATCCTAGGAAGGCACACTTTTCAAAAGGACCCTATAAATAGGGACATTATGTCATTTATGATAGAGAGAGAATTTTGCACACGCAATACGAGACAATACGTCACTTACCACAGAGCTGTCGTTTTCAAGGAACACACAACACTTTACCTGAGCTTGGAATCCAATCAGATAACTTTACTTCCGCACGTTTTATCTCCGAACATTTACTGACTTAATCTTCGGAGGCGGACCACCGACCATCCGGCGGTCCGTTTGCTTTGCAGGTACATGCATCCTCAGTTGAATCCAGTTTCAGCGTTGTAACTCTCCCGAGGGACAAAAACCCCCGAAACATTTGGCGCCGTCTGTGGGGAGAGTACCTCTGAAATGGCTTCACAAGAACCTGTACCAAATCCGGAGGCCATTCGGCCTCCAAATGATGTACTGGTCCAAACGGACCATGACTCAGATGACGACGCTGATGTCGAAACCTATGTGGATCCAAATGGATCCCTCATCTCTAAACGCATCCGCAGTAAGGAACGGCGAGAACGTCCCCATGTTCAGGCAGGACCAAGCAAAACTACTGGTCAGCGAAAGAAGCCCTCGGGGCGGCCGGTTGATCCTTCCCAGGCGGCAGGATCAACTCCCGTCACTCGGGATGAGCTAATGTCACTCCTGAGCAGCCTCAAGGGTGAAATCAAGCATCTCGCCTCTAAGAAGTCGCCTGCCCCTAGAAAGGAGCAGTCGGCCAAGAAGCCAGCCCAAGCTGGCAAACAGAAGTCGGTCAGGGACCGTCAGCCGACTCCTCATCCTACCCCTAAGGAGAAGGCCCGGCCCCAAATTGATCTTACTCGGCTCCGTTTCCCAGAAACGAGCACAAGAAAGCCCATCCGGCATGTACAGCCGGATGGCAGCAAGAAGACGTTCTCCGACGCTCGGCAATACATCGAGGAGAAGATAACTCAGCTATCAGAGTCGACTTCAACGTCGACTTATCATGATAGCTTTCGGAATACCTCTGTGAGGTGTTCCTAGTCCGTACATGAGACCCCAGCAAGCAACCATAGGGTTCAGTCTGGGCCTCATGTGATTCAATCCGCCCAGTACATGGCACCGCCACTGTACCAGGCGCCAGTAGTACCTTACATGCAGCCTACCCTCTACGGGGGACAGGCAGCTTAGGCTGCAACACCTTGGAGATCAACCCTCTGCTTTCTCTAGAGAAATAACTGAAGCCGTGCAGCCGGCTAAAGTTAAAAACGTCCTGGTTGGAGCCTATGACGGGACCTCCAACCCAGAGGACCACCTGTTCGCATACACCCACCTCATGTATTTACAGGGGTTGGATGATGCCGCATGGTGTCGTTGCTTTCCAGCCACCCTGAAGGGCATAGCCCAGCAGTGGTTTGGCAATCTGCCGGCTGGCTGCATAAATAGCTTCAAGACGCTTGCATTCTTGTTTGCATCAAACTTCTCTATGAACATCCCTGCCAAAAAGACAAGTCTTGACTTGGGCAATGTACAGCAGGGAGATAGAGAAGGTTTGCGATCCTACGTCAAGCGGTTCAATCTGGTCCGAATCCAGATTCATGGGCTGTCCGATGAGGTCGCCTTCATAGACTTCTTTAAGGGTCTGAAGGACGGGTCTACTTTTATGTAGGAACTCGTCCACAAACAAATCTTTACCCTGCAAGGAGCCTTGCGAGAGGCGGAAGCTTACATACAGGCGACCGAACTCTGCTCCTCCAGTAAGCAGTCGGATAAGAAGTCCGACCGGCAGAAAGAGAGTCGGCCTGCTCAGCCGGCTCCTAAGCCAGAAGAGAGCAAAAAGAAAAAGCAAGTCTGGGCCATTGATAACTCTGATCAACCGACCCAGAAGAAGAAAAAAGAGTGGAAACCGTACGCCCCAAGGTACGAATTCCACCTGCTGCTCCATCCTTTTGGAAATTAAGGATCGGCTAACTCTTGAAAAGCCGGCTGCTATGAAAGGTTTCGCTGAAAATCGGAACAAGAACAAGCATTGCCATTTCCATGAGGATGTTGGCCATGACACGAACGTCTGCTTTAGTCTCAAGCGGGTGCTCGACCGTCTGGCCGACAAAGGACAGCTGAAGTCCTATGTGAAGTCCAAAGTGACTTCAAAAGCAAATCCGGGGCAGTCCAAGAAAAAGACTCCCCAGCCTGCTGTGAGTACCGAAACTGATGAAGAACCGGTGTATACCATAGCAGGCGGATTTGCCGGTGGTGGCCCGACCATTCGGGGTACCAAGGACCATTTGAGAAAGATGGTCAATTCTGTTGAGGAGGGGGATACAGCTAGCACATCCACCTTCCCTAAAGTTGTCATCACCGAACAGGACAGAGGCAAAGTCCGTCGGCCGCATGATGACCCTGTTGTCATTGAGTGTAAAGTCGCCAACCAGCTGGTTGGCCGAATTCTGATTGACACAGGAAGTTCCTTTGACCTCATCAACCTCAAATGCTTGTCCAATCTCAAGTACAAACCGGATAGCATGATGGAGGTCACCCACACCTTAGTTGGGTTTGGGGGAGGACTTGTGCACCCAGTCGGACGAATGGACCTGCCTGTCCGCCTGGGAAGCAGGGGAGACGGTCGGCACATGACCATCCGTTTCCTAGTGGTTGAAGAGCTCATGGATTACAACCTCATCTTTGGCCGACCTTCTCTTAATGAGTGTAAGGCCGTCATCATCCCTGCTCTCATGCTACTCAAGTATGAGAAGGATGATGGAACAGTTGGTTCCCTTAATGGGGACCAAAAGACGGCTCGAGAGTGTTATCTCTCGGACGTCAAGCCTGCGGCCGCAGCATCCGGCCGGGGCAAGCAAATGATTGACCTCGACGATGTCGAGGAAGAACAGTCGGCCCCACCAGCCGGAAAGAAAAGAAAGACTGATCAGCTGGTGGTGGTCAAAAAAGAAAAGCAATAACAATCACTGACCGGGGAAAGGTCGGATGATCTTCGTCCCCAGCCTACTGGAGAGCACATTGATATCCCTCTGGATGATAGCCGTCCAGAGCGGACTGTTAAGGTGGGGACGATTGCCTTTGCCAAGTTGGGTGAAAACCTTCACCAGCTGCTCAAGGAATTCAAAGACATCTTTGCCTTTGAAGTGGAAGAGATGCCAGGCATCCGCCCGGATCTCGCTGTCCACAAACTCGCCGTGGATCCTAAAAAGAAGCCCATCCGGAAAAAGAAAAGAAACCACGGCGAATAAAGAAGTCAGGCGCCAGCTGCCGAAGTAAAAAAGCTGTTAGATGCCAAGTTCATTCGGCCATGCAACTTCCCTGAGTGGGTAGCTAACGTTGTGTTAGTTAAAAAGCCGAATGGAACTTGGCGGATGTGTGTTGATTACACAGATCTCAACAAGGCATGTCCAAAGGATAGCTATCCACTGCCTAAGATCGACAGTCTGGTCGACTCAACAGCCGGACATGCCCTGATGAGTTTCATGGACGCCTATTCAGGTTTCCATCAGATCCCCCTGTGGAAAAAAGATCAAGAAAAGA